AATTTGCTTGTTCTGAGGACTCCCAGATGGGTTTTACTCACCAAGAATATGGCATTAATCATGTTAGACTTTGTAAGAATAGGATAGACCTGGGAGATGAGTCACAATGTGAGCAACTAGACTATCAGATAGATGAAGCCGCTAAGGTTGCACCTCCACATATGTGGGCCTCTATCCCTTGCACATCCGGATCCCCTTGGCAGTACATCAATAGGAAGAAGGGTGGTGCCGCATTCGTGAGAAAGCTTGCCCGCCAGGTCAAAGAGTCCAAACGGTTGTTTAAGAGTTTTTCCAAACGTGCTGAAAGGGTTCTCAATCATGGTGGTACTGTAACGTTTGAATGGCCAAGACCTTGCTCTGGCTGGAAAAGGCCTGACGTTGTAGCATTCTTTGAGAAACACCCCCAGTTTATGACCGTTGGTTTTGAAGGGTGTACCGTAGGTTTAACCGACAGAAATGGTTATCCCATCAAGAAGCCATGGAAGCTCAAGACCACTTCTCCCCGAATTGTAGAGGCGTTTGAAGATATGCGGTGCCGATGCCAGCAACCTCATTCCAGATGTGAGGGAGCTGAGACCACTCGCTCCGCAATGTATCCGCCCCAAATGACTAGTTTAATTGCGCAAGCTTTGTATCCCTCAAAATGTGCCCAGCAGTCTGTTCCTGCTATGCCTTGCCGACCGGCAACTAGCGAACCTCAAGCCCATAGGGAAATTGAGCAGCACCTCAAGCACGTATCCTCATTAGCTGGTTTTGAAGATTTAGCCCTAGCTGTTGAATCAGACCCCACCGCTAATAGGTTGTTTACAGAACTTCTTGACCACGAACAATTGATCGCCCAAGCCTTCCACCTGGAAGACCCTAAGGCACCAACGCCTGAGATCAAAGCAATGGTCACCAAGCTCTTATCCCGTGCGGAGATGCTGTCCAACCCCAAGGCCCTTGACGCAATTCGCGCCGAAGCCGATGGTTTGGTTAAGGCTGGTACTTGGGATCTTGGCTCGGTCCGCGAGAAGGAAGATGTGCGCAAAGAAGCTAAGGCTTCGGGTGTGTCTGTACACTTTGGTCAGCTCATGACCATCGCGTCCATTAAATTCTACGAGCTCGCAGACCACCTTCACAAAATGAAGGGGCACATCGTGTACAGAGGAGACTGCGCAAAGGACGAGCATGGTGCAGCCGCGGTTTACCAAGAACTCGGCGCAAACCCCACCTCCGTCCAAGGGCTAAACGCCTGCCTGGCGTACGGGTCGCTGCCGGGTAACCGCGCGACGGCTGCAGATGCAGTCAAAGCTTACGTCCAAGCACTGTTTTCTTCCAAATACAAGACCTGGATTGAGCTTCCCCCGGAGCTCCGCCCTAAGTATTGGAAACAACAGTTTGTTAAGCCCGTAGTCCTCTTAATTAAAGCCTTATACGGTCATCCTGATGCCGGAGGCCTGTGGGAACAACACCTGAAAGTCATCATCAAGAACCTTGGTGGACAGGAAGTTCTAGAATACCCAGGAAACTTTTACTTTCCAGATACAAAGTTACTTCTGTCAACTTATGTAGACGATTTAACTCTAGCTGGCCCCGCCGACCAGCATGATGCATTCTGGAGTAAATTAACCTCTGTGGTAGACATAGAACCCCCAGAGCCCATCTATAGGATTCTTGGACGCAACCATGTTGTTACCCCACTTCCCAAGACCGAAGGTCATGAAAAATGTGCAGCCTTTCAAGCCCAAAATGGCATGGTTTTTGATATGGCAGACTACGCTCAGCAGACCGTAGATTTGTATAAATCAATAACCGGTATCACCAAACTCAAGCATGCCGCCACGCCATTTCCACCTGAGGGGTCCATCACCATTGAAGATGATGAAACTAAAGGGGAATTAGCTCCAAATGCATGTAAGATTTTGATGAAAGCCCTTTGGTTAGGTAGACTTGCACGTCCCGATATCATCAAGCCTATCAATGATCTGGCCACAAAAGTCCAGTCGTGGTCCAGGGGGGATGATAAGAAGGTCCTAAGATTAATCCAGTACATAGCCTCAACCCCACACTACAGGTTAGTAGGTACCATTCAGGACAAGCCTGAAGACCTAGAGCTCAGACTGTTTGTCGATGCCGACTTCGCCGGTGACAGATCTTCTGCACGCTCAACCTCTGGTGGCTTTCTGGTTTTGACTGGCCCTAGTTCCTTCTTCCCACTTGCATGGATTAGCAAGCGCCAAACATCCACTTCTAGATCGACCACGGAAAGCGAGGTTGTTAGTTTAGCCCGTTCGCTTTATCAAGAAGGCTTGCCTGCCTTACAGTTATGGGAGCTGTTGCTTGCACGCTCCGTAACCCTTAAGGTCCACGAAGATAACCAAGCAACAATCCTAGTTGTGAAGAAAGGATATAGTCCCAAGCTTCGCCATATAACTAGAACGCACAAAGTAAACCTGTCTTGCCTGTCTGAAGTCTTCCGAGATGACTCTGCCGAAATAGAGTACACCCACACGGACGATCAGGCGGCAGACATATTCACCAAGGCATTGCCTCCACACAAATGGGCAGCAGCACTGATCCTTTTAGGAATCCGTACTGACCTTCCCTTAGACCTTAAGTCCAAAGCATAGGTCGCTGTGAACGTCCGTTCACGCGACAGTAGTCGCTTAGGATACTGCCAATGCGCAGTGCGTGTGGAACAGGCAAGGGGGGAGTTGAAATATATCGACCCCTGAGCCCCACTATGTATAGCATAGGTAGTAGGTCTAGTGTAGGCATGCCATAGCTATGATTCCATCACATCCGAAATAGTACATCCAATCATATGTACAGATGTAGCACCACATGTATAGAAGCGTTATACATGTAGAGTAGTCACACTTTAGGTAGGGAGTCCCCAATCCAACAACTACCGGTTTGGGTATCACTCCGCTATTCGACGGTATGGCTCAAGTGCCTGTCTAGAAAAGGTGCTTCTGTTTGCATGCACAGGGTTTGGCGGTTTAGTTTCCCCTTGTTTTGGGTTTCTGTTCCGACCCCCTGTTTGTCTATTGTAGCCCTATTAACTATACCAATTGGAATTTAGTCGTCCATCTATTAACCTTCTTTAAATAGTAAGTAACCAACAAGTATCCTGTACTATTATTTACTGTCATACTACTATTATTAACTATTTAAGGGCTGCCGCCCCTGCCGCCGACCCCGGTAAAGAATCGGGGATTGCTGGTGAAACAGGCAAGCTGTGTGACGAGAAACTTTGGCAAATGCATTATCACATGCAGGATCACGCACGAAGGGCTATGTGCGTGACGAAGACAAAGACGCAGAGCAACAATGCGTTCCATGCACACGATCCAGCCGCAGTTCGTCGGGCAATCAAAGCTTTAAACACAAAAAAACCCGACAAAGTTGCAGTTCGAAAGATTCCCACGCGGGGCACATGCGAAGCCGAGGCACGAGCAACATGTGAGAAAGTCGATGCCTTCCTACGCGACTTGCGCGGAACGAGCAAATGCAATCCGGAACAGCTAGCATTCATCGAAACCATCTGCGCCCGGGTGAAACACGAAGCTGTGTCCGGACAATAGCGCGGCGGCGCGGCAGACACCAATACCGAAGCGTTGCGCTGGGCGCTTCATGGCGGCCCAGGCACAGGTAAGTCATACGTGTTGAACATAGCACGGCGCGATTTGTTCGAGGAGTGCCTTGGATGGACAGCCTTACATAATCCGGTTTTTTATAACAAGTTAACAAAGTTAGATGTGTTACTAACTTGTTATAAGTCTGGTCTAACAAGTTATAACCAAGGTGTAACAAGTTATAACAATACCTCATCAAAGTATAACTAGTTAGCAGGATTAGGTATGTTATCTACTTTTTGCTAAAAAGTAGCTATCTTACATAACTCAACTTAATTTTTATCTAAAAGTTAGCAAGAGTTAGCAAAAAGTTAAGTCATTTTTGCTTTATTGTAAAACAATATCTTTTTTGCTTTTTTTAAACCAGAAAACTTGTGGACAGTCTCATGTTTCCTGGATTGGCCACTTGGCATTGCAAAATTTGGTTCCACAGTATCATGTTAAAATTTGGTTCCACAGTATCATGTCTTGTGTGCCTACATGGCATTGCATGCCAATATATTGGCTTTACATTGGTGTGCTTCTTGTATAGTTTCTGTGTGTGATCTTGCATGGTTTGCTTTGCCTTTTTGGATTTCATTTGCAGCAAGCAGTTCAAAGTGCCCACCATGGATATTGAAATCCAAACCCAAGTCACCATCAGCTGCAATGGTGCCAAAGCAGTTGCAATCCCACATGCCTTGCTTGTGGAACATGATGGCTGCCAGTGGCTGAAGCTCAGGCCCACCCACTACTCCATCAACCAATTATTCTTTGGGAGAAGCAGGGCCAATGCTTCCTTTTCCAACCACCCAGGATTCCAAGATTTCATTACAAGGAGGAACCAAGAATGGGCCAAGGCAGATGCCACCACTGACACCATGTTTGAAGATCAGCCAGCTGAACCTCAGCCCAAAAAGAGAAAAACCACAGATGAGTCAGAGATTGTGGAAGTGCCATTGTGTGGCACCAACATTCAATGCCTGATGCAAGGCCAAAGGCCAACCAAAGGCGATGTGGTGATCCAATTGAAAAAAGACCAGCTGGAGCCATTTTTCCTTCTTCTCCAGAACCAACAGGAGAGCTTGGACACCAGGAAGCCATACAAGAGGGGCAAGGCAGCAGCCCAAGAACCAAAGCAAAGCACAGTTTGCAAGACTTGCTTGCTGGAGGTAAAAGGGATTGCACATGGAGCTGATGCCAGGAATGGCATTTCATCTGCTATTTGTTTGATACATGCTGTTGCCATGTGGCATTTGGGGAAGCCTGAATGGCATTTCATTTTCTCATTTTTTTGTGTGGAACCAGACTGGCATTCCATACCTGCAATTGGTTCAAAGGAACAACCTCCTGTGAAGTACCATAGCTGATTGTGTTGGTTGCACCAACAGCTGCACACCCATGGCTGCAGCACAACCAGGAGCTTCAAATTCACCAGCAGAAGTGGTGGTTGACCCAGTATGTGTTCAACAAATTACAGACCTTTTGAACTCCAAGAAGCCAGTGAACCAATTGTTGGACCAAGTGGTGAAGGTTTTGTCCAAGTATGGCTTGGCTTACACCTCCACATTGACCCCTGGCCAACTGTTGTGCCACCCACAGAACAGGTCCAAGGCGATGGTCAATTGCTTGGACATGTGGGACAAAGGTGCCAAGATGCTCCAAGTTGGGATGAGCCGACAACTCATTGGCCATTCATTGGCCATAGAGCTGGCCATTGACCCAGTGAAAAGGCAAGACCAAGTAAATGCCAATTCCATGCTGGTCCAAGAAGCAGATGGAGGGTTGGCACCCATCAGTGGCCAAGAGCGCTTCTTGGCATTGCACTTGTAGGCACCATTTTTATCCATTTATGGTTTTCCCACACCATTTGTTCAACCCAGGTTATTTGACCTTGTCCAGCAGCCATACCACAGCTTTTCTTCGAGCTATCCAACATGGATGCCCTCCAAAGACCTTGAACTTGGAAGGGGGTCTGGACATTTCCAAAGATGACCCATGCTGGGATCTGATTACCCAAGGTTGGACATGGACAATTTTGTCCCATTTGGTGGAAACCCAATTCCCACAACTTCCAACCATGCTGCAGAGCGCTTTGAATTCCCCAAACCAGGTTATGAAAGCAGCCAATGAGCTTGAACTAGCTGCTCAGTTGAGCCAATACTTTTCCCTTGGGCTTGAACTCCAAGAAGCCAAAGAGAAAGTTTTGGCCATAAACACATGTCCAGCAGAAGTGCTCAAGTGCCTCACCCACATGGTCCAAAACTATTGTGGTGGCCCACCTGCTTTCCCATTCATTAAGGTGTTGCAAGCCATCAGTGCCTGGGTGGATTTGATGAAGCATGCACAGAGCACATACTTGCAGTTTCTGCCTGGTGGCATTCCATATAATACATAAAACTCACCAAAGGTTGCCTTGCATACATGCATAGATATTTTGGTGCTTGCCCATGTATATATGTGTATCTGTTTCCTATGGATTGTGGACATGATGGCATTTGCCCTTGTGTTTAGCCAAGGCAGAAATAGCAACATCCAGCTTCTTGTTGGCCAAGATTTGATGGAGAGCCTGGCCTACACCAATTTTAAGCAACCAGGTGAATTGTTCACATTGTGCAGGATTGCATTGTGGGCCACAATGTTGACCACCTGGAAGCACCAGGATGGGATCCAGAAGTTGGTGACCAAAGCAGACATTGAAAAGCTGAAGAGCAAGACCAACATTTCCAAGTTGCAGCTGGCTGAAAGGCAATTGCAAGGTGCACTTGATGTTGTGGAAAAGTGCCAGGACCAGCAACATGCCACCAAATGTCTTGGAAGGATGATGATTCGAACCATCCTGTTCATCCTGCAGAAGCAGAAATGGGGCAAAGAGACTTCCAAGACATGGAAGACCCAGGATGAAATTTTGGAAGCTTTCACCCAGGAAATGGCCAACCCAAAGGTAGAGTCACTTCAGGCAGCAGAGCCATTGGTACCAAGGGATCTTGCCAAAGCTTCCTCCCAGGACATGGCCTTGTTCCAAAACCCACACATCAAGCTGAACAAGCTGCATCTTGCATTGCAAAACTGCTTTTATTCCCATACTTTTTTTTTTAACTGGCTGCCACCTTACAGTAATGATTTGCATCCTTCTACCTTTCCCAGGTACAACCAGCAGAAGGACTACCCTGGCAAGGTGTTTGAATTGACTGCACTTGATGACTCCAAGGCCACCATGGTTCACAAGCCTGTGCTGGCACCACCCATCACCTTGCAAATTCCATTTGAAGAGTTGTCAAAATGGAAGGTCTCCAAAGCCAAGATGCCTGAGATGTACCCAGCCCACAGGACCCAGGATATGCTTCCACAAGCTTTGCCATTCTGCAAGGAAGAGGTTGCCAGGATGGAAGCCACCCTGGCACTCCATGAAGCTTGCCAAAAGCATGCTGTGTCTCCCCAGCAGGTGGCTTTTGCATTGCACCCAGCAAGCCTCTTTACCTTGGAAGCCATCAAGAAACCCAAGGGGCTCAAGCTCATTCCCATGGGGCACTTGTCCAAAGCCAAGGATGAGCTTCCCAAGGGTGCTATCACTATGGAACATGGTGGTGTCACATGGCACATCCACCCTTGGAAGCAATTCCATGATTGGGAGAGGCAGCCACAGCCACAGGAATCTTTGGTTCCATTTTGGTGGTGCAAGCCAGCTGAAAATGATTACAATATGGAGTTCAGCACCATCACCTTACACACCATGGGCTCCAATTTCAAAATCCCATGCCTCACCAACATGGACAAGGTTGGCCCCAATGAAACCTTGAATTACCAGAAAATTGATCCTGCAGCAGATGACCAAGGAGATGCTGAAGACAATCCCAGCCATGCACCCAAGAAGAGAAGGAAGGCTTGACCATCCATCAACAAGATGGCAACCATGCAGATTCTCACAATGGTGAAAAAAGGAGCATGCAGCATAGTTTTAGCCATCTTTGGCATGGCAGCCACCATTGGCATTACCTACTTCTATTTGCTTGCCACTACAGCCAATAAATGGCATTGCATTGCAAACAGTGTATATAGCATCATAGCCTCCAATAGCAATTCATGTTGTACAACTTCTCCAAGGGTAGTATTTGCCAATGGTCTTTCATACCTGCAGCTTGTATGGCATTGCAGCCAGTTTATGGCATTACTACAGCCATCAATGGCATTGCACCAGCATGTGTTTTATTTTAACAATGTTTGCTTAGAAACAGTGACAACCATGTTGTAATCAACTGAGCAACTATTGCCAACCTTGGCCTTTCAGTGCCCAAGGTCACCAGCCAGCTTTTGCCACCAATCGCCCAAACAGCCTCCAAACTGTGCTGTAGCCATGGCCATGAAGAGCAACAGCCAGATGAAGACCATGAAGGGTGCCACCATGAAGCCCATGAAAGCCATGAAGCTGAATGCCATGAAGCTGAAGGCCATGAAAACCATGAAGCTGAAGTCCATGAAGGCCATGAAGACCACCAAGCCTGCCACCAAGAACCAGACTGCCATGAAGAGCAAGACCATGGCCCATGACCCAAACACCCTGGCAGTGGCTTGCCAGACCACCAACTGCCCATCATGGGTGTGGCTCCATAAGATCTGGGGCCACCCCAGATGTGCCATGTGTGGCAAGCCATGGGTTCCCATGGTGATGGCCAAGGGGATCCACCAAAGGGTGGGGTCACCATCCAAGAAGGCCTGGGGACCCACTGTCGCCCAGCCATGGCCACCATGGCCAAAATGACCAAGGCTGCAATGTCTTCCAAGAGAAAAAAGGATGTGCCACCATGGCTCTGCTGCCAACTAGCTAGCCTATATGGCATTACAGCCACTGTGGCATTACCTCCAGTTTGTTGCAGCCACCAGCTGGCATTGCAGCCAATTTATGGCATTACATCCAATTTATGGCATTAAAGCCCCCAATGGCATTGCACCAGCATGTGTTTTATTTTACCAATGCTTTTTTCAGAAACAGTGACAGCCATGTTGTAATCAGGAGAACAACTGTGGCCTTTCAACCTTGGCCTTTCAGTGCCCAAGGTGACCAGCTTTTGCCACCAATAGCCCAAGCAGCCTCCAAACTGTGCTGTAGCCATGGCCATGAAGAGCAACAGCCAGATGAAGACCATGAAGGGCGCCACCATGAAGCCCATGAAAGCCATGAAGCTGAATGCCATGAAGCTGAAGGCCATGAAGACCATGAAGCTGAAGGCCATGAAGGCCATGAAGCTGAAGGCCATGAAGGCCATGAAGGGAATGAAGGCCATGAAGACCACCAAGCCTGCCACCAAGAACCAGACTGCCATGAAGAGCAAGACCATGGCCCATGACCCAAACACCCTGGCAGTGGCTTGCCAGACCACCAACTGCCCATCATGGGTGTGGCTCCATAAGATCTGGGGCCACCCCAGATGTGCCATGTGTGGCAAGCCATGGGTTCCCATGGTGATGGCCAAGGGGATCCACCAAAGGGTGGGGTCACCATCCAAGAAGGCCTGGGGACCCACTGTCGCCCAGCCATGGCCACCATGGCCAAAATGACCAAGGCTGCAATGTCTTCCAAGAGAAAAAAGGATGTGCCACCATGGCTCTGCTGCCAACTAGCTAGCCTATATGGCATTACAGCCACTGTGGCATTACCTCCAGTTTGTTGCAGCCACCAGCTGGCATTGCAGCCAATTTATGGCATTACATCCAATTTATGGCATTAAAGCCCCCAATGGCATTGCACCAGCATGTGTTTTATTTTACCAATGCTTTTTTCAGAAACAGTGACAGCCATGTTGTAATCAGGAGAACAACTGTGGCCTTTCAACCTTGGCCTTTCAGTGCCCAAGGTGACCAGCTTTTGCCACCAATAGCCCAAGCAGCCTCCAAACTGTGCTGTAGCCATGGCCATGAAGAGCAACAGCCAGATGAAGACCATGAAGGGCGCCACCATGAAGCCCATGAAAGCCATGAAGCTGAATGCCATGAAGCTGAAGGCCATGAAGACCATGAAGCTGAAGGCCATGAAGGCCATGAAGCTGAAGGCCATGAAGGCCATGAAGGGAATGAAGGCCATGAAGACTACCAAGCCTGCCACCAAGAACCAGAATGCCATGAAGAGCAAGAACATGGCCCATGACCCAAACACCCTGGCAGTGGCCTGCCAGACCACCAACTGCCCATCATGGGTGTGGCTCCACAAGATCTGGGGCCATCCCAGATGTGCCATGTGTGGCAAGCCATGGGTGCCCATGGTGATGGCCAAGGGGATCCACCAAAGGATGGGGTCACCATCCATGAAGGCCAGCTGAAGCCACTAACCAAGTGATGGCCAACTGAAGCCCAGCCATGGCCACCATGGCCAGCATGACCAAGGCTGCAGTGTCTTCCAAGAGAAAAAGGGTGTGCCACCATGGCTCTGCTGCCAGCTAGTCATTACAACCATTGTTGCATTACATCCACCAGTTTGTTGCAGCCACCAGGTGGCATTACACCCCATAGCCTTGCACCTTGCAGTGTCGTTTTTTTCATTCAGGCTTATGTCTATGGAATTTTACCCATTGGCATTCAAGTTTCCATATTTTAGTTTCCAGTATTGCTGCCAGACATTTTTTTCATGTACCATTGTGTTGCCATTTTGTGGCATTATACATTTGCCATTTTTTGGCATTACATTTTCTTTGTTTCCAACTTGCTGGCCAGGTCCCTTGGTGATGTTGTGCATGGGTAGCTGTTTGGACCATCAGGGCACCAGCAGCCCACTGTCCACCAGTGAACTAACTAGCCATGCCAAGGTTGGACATAGATGACCACTGCCTCACAGGGCCACCCAGCCAAAGATCCATGGCCATCTTCTTCAATGACCAATCTGTCCACCAGCATCTTGGATGAATGAAGTTTCTGATGACCTCATGTAGATGAGTTTTGTTTCCATGGGGTTGCAGTGACACCTCATCCACTGCAGCCCAGGTATGAAGTGCCACCCAACTACTGCCAGAACTCCATGTACCAGCTGGTGGCCAAGAGTGATGGGACCAAGGTGGGCTACAGAGTGAAGACCAGCCCAGGTTCCACTGAGATGATTGCCACCTGGTGCTTGGCCAAGATGATCCATGAGAGGGAACACTCAGAGGCCCAGAAGCTGGTCCATAAGTGGTTTGGGTGAGCTGCCATTGTTTTGATGAGAAAAGAGTTCCATTGGCCATCTTATGGCATTACATCATGTTGTCATGTCTGTTGGTTGCCTTCCAGGTTTGGCATTGCATTGATTTACTGTGTGGTTGCCAAAATGGCATTGAATGCAACCCATTGCATTTCCAACATGTTGTTTGGCCATTCATGGCATTACAATGGAAGGTGCATGGTTTTGTTTACAACATGGTTTTGCTATTCATTTGGATGGGTTAGGTATAGAAGTACTATACCATCTTCAACCATAATAATCGAAAACTAAGCATTCAGTTTTTGGCATTCAAATCTGGTTTCAAGAAGAATTTTTTACAATTAAATTGTATCACACATGGTGATCAATGAGTTAAAGTGCCAATTATTTTGGTCCAAGCCAACCAAGATTTTCATCGAACACATTTGAAAAGAAACAGCATTACAGCAAACTATTTTGAAAAAAAACTTGCAATCAACGATGTATGCAAATATGGAAAATCCAAGATTTTTGAGTTAGGTTCAAATATTTGAACTTAACTTTCTTATAAACCAAAGTTAGGTTCAAATTTTTGAACTTAACTCTTTTATAAACCAAAGTTAGGTTCAAATATTTGAACTTAACTATATTCAAACCAAAGTTAGGTTCAAATATTTGAACTTAACACTGTTATAAACCAAAGTTAGGTTCAAATATTTGAACTTAACTATTTTTAAGCCAAAGTTAGGTTCAAATATTTGAACCTAACTATTTTATAAACCAAATTTAGGTTCAAATATTTGAACATATTTTTTCCAAAAACAGACTAGGTTCAAACGATTAAATCTAGAAATTTCAATCCTAAAATAAGCATGAGCTAATTGATTCCATATAGAAAAACACATTTACAAATACATATATATTGATTATATTTACATAGTGTTGGAATATTAAAAATAGCTAGCCACTATATAAATACAATATATTTTACATTTAGTATGGTATCACTCAACCTATTCTAATGCCAATGGTACCACAATTTATACTGATGAATAACAACAAACCAAACCATAATTCACCAACAATCACCCAATACTGGTGCTGAGCCATGGAGAGACCACCAATGGATGGGCCAAATGAGCCATTCATCACAGAAGGTGATGAAGCCAAATGGCAGTCCATGGAACGTGATGCCATGCAATGCCATGATGGCTTGAGGTTCATCCAATATGAGAACATGAGGTTGGAGAACAAATTGATGCAGTGGGAGGACCAAAGGTCCCAAGAAGCCATGGAAGCCAGGTGGTACCAGCAAGCCGCCATGGATGTAGATGAAGAAGGGGAACCAGCTGGTCCCAACCCACCAGGAGCCACCACAGCCACAGATGCTTCCACAACTGAAGCACCTTCCAGTGGACCAGCAGCTGAACCCATAGTGACTACTTCCACAGTATCACGTCGTGGCACAACATGCAAATCTGGTCCATGGGGCAAGTTTTGGCAAACATATGGGAAGCCATACCAAACAGCACCATGGAGGAAGCCAGAGAGACCACCTATGCCCACCAAAGCCAAGAACTCCCCAATGGGAACTGCACCAGTGCCAGCAGCATCTCCAACCAGTGCACCTGAGCCTCAACCAGTAGTTGCATCCAGTGCATACCCAGCAGCTCCATCCACTGCACCAGGAGCTTCATCCAGTAGTAGGGCAGCACCCATGGCAGCACCACCAACCATCCAAAAACAGACAGGATGGAGAGCCAAGATGGTGTACTTTCTCACCATGTATGAACGCCAAGGCTACCAGATCTTGGACCAGCTGGTGAACCAAATGGAGGGTGATGTCACATCACCACCACCAGATCCCAAGACCTGGAGAGGCAAGGCCAGCCAATGGATGCAGGCCTGGAGAGCCAAGGACTGGGGCCAGATCGACCAGTTCCACCAATGGTGCCTTGACTGACATAGCCAAGAGTTGTTTCCAAAATTTATCTGTATGGTGTTGCAGTGCCTCCCATAGTTATGTTCCCCTCCATCCATGCAGCCCAGGTGGCAGAGGGACCCAACTTGGAAGGCAGAGGTCACAAGGCACCAGAAAGCCATCCAAGACTTTGGGTTTGATGAGAAAGCCCCTGACTGGGCCAGGCCATAGGCACACCCAGACCCATGTGACTCTTCCAGGAAAAAAAGAGCCAGCCTGCATAACCACTCTTGCTGTCACATTGCTCTTGCAACCACTATGTGGTATTGCAGCCATCCTGGCACTACATTGCTACAACATACATCATTGCAGCCAATATATGGCAGTGAAGCCAATATATGGCATTGTAGCCAACCTGTGGCACTGCACCTTTGTAGTATTTGTTCTGTTTGTTGATTTTTTCAAATCCAAGCAGATGTGGCTGATTTGAGATTTTTGGACCAAGGAAAGGCTTAGGTTATTTGGCCACAAGAAACCATGACCCACCAATGGAAGGTGGCAGATTACATCCAAGAGATGAACCACTTGGAGAAGCTCATCCAGCAGCATCCTGGTGGTCCATTGATCCAGACCATGACTGTTTCTTTGTGCACCAAGTTGAAGTCATCTTCAAATTGGACCAGCCAAGCCATTCTGGAGATGGTGCAGAAGATCCAGGACTCTGGGCTTCCAGACGACAAGAAGAAGGCCATCCAAGATGCCATGGATGCCATTGGCCTCAATGAAGGAAGCCACCTCCAGGTAGTGATGGCAGGGCAGCACATTGAAGGGTTTTCCAATTACATCTCCAAGAAAGATTGGAGCAGGATGGAGGAAGCACCCAAAAACACAGTGCATACCATGTCCATCCTAGCCCAGAGATTGAGGGCCATGGGAGTTGCTTCCATGAAGGAAGCTACCAAGAAGCAAGCCACATCAGTGGTTCTGTACCTTCTGGTCCACAAAGGTGGTGAGCTACAGCCAGGGCCAGATGCAAGAAAGAGGTTGGCCAATGGATTTGGCACAGTTTTTGCTGGTGCCACTCCAGGAGCAATGCCAGGGATGTCCAAGTATCCAGCCAACCCTATGGAATTGGGAAGCCAGTGGGTTTCTCAAGTGTATGGCCAAGATGATGAACCAGCTATGATCTCCATTGGCTCTGGATGGAAATCTTTGGCATCTTGACAGCGATATGTGTTTAGCTTGGTGCAACTGCAGCCCATGTGTTTCTTTCCATTCAGCCAAGGTAATACTCAGAGGCACCCACAATGACTTGAGAACACCATCGCCAAGCTCCAGCTCCATGCCTTCCACTCTGGCCCAGCAGCCACAAGCATTCCCAGGTGAAGCTATGCTTGCAAGCCTCACCAATTTGCTCACCACATTTGTTCCACATTCACCATTGCTGGGAGCAAACCAGCAAAAGGCTTTGCCTGCCCCTGCAGCAAGCCCAGCACATCCAGTCCCAAAGAACATTCCTACTCCTCAGACCAGCCCTGCACCATTGCCATTGGTCAGCAAGGCTGAGACAGCTCCTTCTGCTGAGGGGGCGCCAGAGATTGCTCCTGAGGCCATGCTTAGCATTTCCTATTTCATTTAGCATTTGCTTGCTGAACTTTGTGTGCATTCTCTATGGACACTTCTTGCCATAGCTTGGCATTGCATGATATGGTATCTTCATTTTTTGAAGCCAAGATGGCATTGAAATCCTTGAGATTCAACAAATATTCACCATGAATGCTTGCATAGGCCACAGAAGCCAGCAATGACTTGGAGGAGTATGAGAAGGAAGCTTACCATGCTTTGGCCAAGACCAAGGCCAAGGCCAAGGCTGCAGCCAAAGCCAAAGGAAAAGCTGGTGCCAAGTCCAAAGCCAAAGCCAAATCTGAGGCTAAAGCTGCTTCCAAGCCTGGGCCCAAAGTTAAGGCTAAGGCAAAAGGCCACAATAAGCAGGTGAAACCATCTGCTGGTAAGGCTGCCAGCTCTGGGTACTATGGGCCACCACCTTCCTCTGATGGCCCATTTGGCTGCATCAGGTGCCGGGGAAACATCAAAGGATGCAGCCAATGTGTGCAGCCAGGCTATGCTGGCTTGAGATTCCTTTCCAGGCAGGATTGGTCCAAATGGCACCAGGCCAACCAGGCCAACAAATAATTGGCCCTATGCAGTACCATACCTGTCCACAGAAGCCCTTTGCACAAGGGGATGCAAAGAGATTTGCCAAGGGGTTGTACAAATTGCTTTGGTGGTGGAGATTAAGGACCACTTGGTAGCAAGCTGAAAAGGTCAAAAAGAATGCAGACACTTTGCCATGCCTGGAGCAACAATTATGGTATACAAAGCCCATTGGCATTAAAGCCATGTTGGCATTGCATTGTTCTTTTTTCATGTGAAAGAACTAACTTCCAAATTTTGGAATTTTTCCATTTTCTGCCCATGCATGGAACATGCACAAGCCATCATGGCATTGCAGGCAGCCTACTTTGAAATGGGGATGTATGAGTGAGCCTTTGTGCCATTGCATTCTGATTTCCATAGGGTCTGTATGGCAATGCCCCAACCTTTTGCAGCTTTACAACTTCAAGCTAAAGCAGGACTGTATGAAAGCAAAAAGAAGCAAGCACAGGGTTCAGAGCACCAACAGCCCACCAATTACAATGAAGATCGCAAACAGGATGTAATCATATACATGATGCCATCAAGCTAAAACCACCTCAGCTTGCATGTTGAAGCCATGGCTTCATCCTCTGCCAGGCCACAGAAATTTGCTAAACTGCAACATTTCAAGGCTAGCTTGCCTTACCATAGCCAAGTAAGTTTGAACGCAATGATTGAAGAAGCCAAGGAAGTGGGCTTGCCAGATTTCAGTTCACCCAAGCACCAAATTGAAGCCAGAAGGCAACTCATTGCAGACTGCCATGGTGGTGGCTTAGGCCCTTTGATCCAGGAAGCCACTGTCCAAGACAATCCAGGTGAACCAGCCACACTTGTTTTCACAAGTTTGCTCACATACCTCATTGCATTGTTTGCCAGAGGTGGTAGCTTCACCAAACTCATGTCTAGCAAACATGCCCAATGCCCTTCATCACCATCCCAGCCCTGGAAGCTAATTATATACCTAGATGAGCTCATTCCAGGCAATGTCCTGGGAAGAGCAGAGAGAAAATCCTGGGCTTGGTATGCCAGCTTCCTAGAATTTGGCAACCATTTGTCCTCTATCCACAGCTGGCTTACCATAGCTTTGGCCAGGAGCAACAAAGTGTCCAAAATAGAAGCAGGTGTCAGCCAGATCACTGCCACCCTTTTGGAAGCCATTTTTTGCAATCCCATGTGCTACCCCCAGACAGGAATTATTTTGAAAGGCCCAAACTCATCTACCAACATCAGACTGCATTTTGTTTTTTCCATGGTCTTGGCAGATGGAGCTGCCCACAAGCAAGTGTGGGCAGCAAAAGGGGACTCAGGTTCCAAATTTTGTTTTCTATGTAAAAATGTCAGAGCTTCAGGCACCCATGAAGACCAAATGCATTGCAACATTACTAAATACAGCCAGCTCAAGTTGACCACTGACCAAGAGGTTCTCCAATCTTATGCCAAGCTGGATGCCAGAAAAGCGACTTGTACCAAAACAGATTTTGACATGTGGCAGCAAGCCACAGGTTGGACACACAGCCACTTAGCCCTCCTGTTGGATGCAGAACTGAAATCCATGGATTTATTGAAGCCTGTGGCACAATTTGCCCATGATCCAATGCATGGAGTGCTTCAAGGAATTGCACCTATATGCCTTTTCCATTGGTTGTCTTCCATGGAGAATGACTTGGACATTTGGGCTTTTCTCCAAGGCTATTTCCCTTTGTGGCAATACCCCAAAAGTTGGAAAACACCAGAGCTTGGAACTTTCTTCCAAAAAAAGAAAATTGCCAGTTACAAAAGCAGCCAGAAAATCAGTTGCCAAGCTAGTGAATGCTTGGCCATATTTCCTATTGTGAGACATGTCGTGCACCAGATGGCTAACCCACAAAGCCAACAACCCAAAGCTTGTGAAGCTTTGTTGGCAATGGCCAATTTGATCGACCAAATACAAGATGGTAACTTGGCTGGCCTCATCAGCAGAGACACATTGTTGCAAGCCACAGAACATGCCATAGAAAGCTTCAAAGCAGCTTGGCCTGAAATTCCATTAATCAAGAAGTGGCACTGGCAATTGCATGTGGGTGACACTCATGAAAGGTTTGGTCGATTGGTTTCCTGCTTTGCCAATGAAAGGAAGCATAAGCCAATTGGGCAACTGGCACAAGCATTGCAAAACCAAAAGAACTTTGAAAGAAACCTTTTGGAGCAAGTCCTTTCCCAAGAGATTTGCAAGCTGGACCAGCCAGATGTTTTCAGGGATGGTGTGTATTTGGTTTCCCTTCGACCAGCCAGCAAATCCACCTTGCAGACATTGACCAAGCTCATTGGTGAACCCATTGACAAGGCCTTGGTCAGCTGGACTGCCAGTGTGAACCATACCCTTTGCCACAAAGGTGATGTGGTGCTTTATCAAATTAATGGCTCCATTGCCATTGCACAAGTCCATTTGCATTTGCTGATCCATGGTATTTTGACCACTTTGGTCAATGCTTGGCACATCCAAGAATGGATGCCAAAGAAACAATTTGCAAAATGCCAAGTACCTCACCAAAATTTAGGCTTTGTGCCCACAGCAGACATCCTGGTACCAGTGGTTTGCCATCAGAGCCAAGGTAATGCCAAAGTGCTTTTACCATATCAAATATACAGCAAGGAAGCCTGCTGATCCCAAAAAAAGGTTTGGGCAATATAGGTTGATGTATGCCTGCCTGGTGGCATTTCAGTTGTGCCTTGTAGCATTGCATGCTTGCCTTGTGGCATTTCATAGTGTTTGACATTGATAGGTTTTCTTGTCCAGTTTGCTTGATTAACTTCAGCTACCCATAGTGACATTATTTGCCATTCTCATCGAAAACTTCCATGCAGCCAAGAATGAACATCATTGATGTCAATGATTGGAATTTCTGAACACACAATTGTTTCTTAAAAAATATTCCTTGAAAAGAATCAAGTTTGTTTTTTGACAAAAGTAACTACAAGAAAGAGCTACTTTTTCTTTTCTGCTACATCACTTTTTTCAAAATATGAATTCAAAAAAGTGAATCTAGAGAACAAGAGAAAATGGAGTTAGCCAGAGTTAGTAAGAGTTAGCTAACTGTTAGCTAACTCTACTTAACTAACATAACTCAACTTAACTAGTTATAAAAATCTGGTTTATGTAAGGCAGGAAAGGAATTTCAAGTTGTCGCATTTCAAGCTGTCAATGCCGAGCCTTTGGACGGCGAAACTATGCATCAAGCATTGGGGTTGGCTTGGCACGGCAACGATCACAACGTCGACGCGCAAAGGATTCTTAATCTTGCACAACAGGCCGTGCAGTGGCGCTGGCTGCTGATCGACGAAATCAGCATGGTGAGTGCTGAGATGTTAGCGCGTCTCGAAGCTCGCTGTCGGCAACTTGTTTTAGATCTATATCTGCCACAAAATATGGCAAACATACCCCTGACTGCATTGCACCCTTCGGTGGCCTCAATATCATTCTCTCGGGCGACCTGTGGCAGCTACCTCCACCGCGTGGAACGTTTCTCGGTCAAATTCCCTGGCACCTTGTGACAGGCGTCCCATCTAAGAAGTTGCCACTGAGTTTGCAAGGCCAACAGCTCGTATGGGCCTCCAGCGCACAGGGTGGCTTACAAGGAGTTACCGAATTGGTGCGCTGCGAGCGAACCCAAGACGTGTGGCTCCAGGACCTGCAAGCAGAACTTCGCGTGGGGCACTTGTCCGAAGACAACCATGCATTCTTGCATGGTCGACCAACAAAGGTTCCAGGAAGTTGGTGCGCTAGGACGCAACGGCCTATGTGTCAAGAAAACATATGTTATCAGTTGTACAAAAACGCCTCCACAGCGACAGCGATTCTCAAGTACGAATGTCCAATCTGTCATGCTGAGCGGGATACCAAGCGTCTAGTTGCCGTGGACGCAGACGATCCTCGCTTCGTAGAAGGTTTCAGCATGGCGCGGGGGATTTTTCACACGAACGGGGTGAAGTGCCACGTAAATAAATTGCGCGCAGAACAATGGGCGCGACAGCGCGGGCAAGTCATCTACTATGCAGTGGCTACGGACAAAGTTTCATCGCGCGCTTTGCACGAGAAACCCGACATTGCCCACGACAAGCTCATGTGGCTGCAGCGCAGCGACGCTGACTGCGGCAACCGGTACGGCGTCCTTCCACTGTGCATTGGTATGCCAGTGCAAGCGCGAGAACATCTCTACCGAAAGGAGTTCAAGATTTTGAAAGGGTGTCATGGAACAGTTTGCGGGTGGTCTCGCGTTGAAACAGAAACAGCGTCGGCAGATGGAGCAGTCATTTGGAACAAACTTCCCGAGTATATCTTTGTGCGTTTTGAAACACGCACACGGTGGACTATCCCAGGCATCGATCAAGAGAACGTCTTCCCAGTGAGCGTGCAAAGTGGAATGTGGTTTTTGGACGCGGGCCGCACCAACCCACAATTGAAAG